CTCCGTGAAGCTGGTATGTCCAAGGTTCGGATTTGTCGGCATCCTCTATCAGATAAGGTGCGGCATCGAAGACGTCGGGAAATTCATAACGGTCATTGATCTTCATCATCATATCCCTCTGAATATCGTACTCGAATCGCTTGAGCTGCAGGTGCAGAACGTCGGGGAAACTGGTAAAGATAACACCCTTGTTGGCATCCTGCAACTTGTGCTCGTCTCCGGCAAAGTACTGGTTTTCCCCGTCCATCTTTTCAACTTGAATATAATCTTGGAAACTTTCCAGCAGGTTCTTGTTGCCACTGACATTGAGCTGAATATCCCAAAAGTCCTCAATGCGGCTCGATTCGTAGTCCACGTTGATACAAGAGATGTACGTTTTGATCTTGCCACTGAACATTTCTGGGAGAACGTTTTCGGCCTTGGTGCCCTTCATCTTCTCCTCCATCCGTTCCATCAGTTTTCGTGACAGTTCTTGGACATCTTGTTGTTCAAAGATGTGGCGCGTCTCCCAACCGAATGATTTCGTCAATTCGTTGGTCCCGACTGCTTGATCGGAGGTCTGGAGTTGGTAGAAGAGTCGTTGAAGTGTGTAGGCAGAGTTTTGCATGCTCTCGTCATTCTCTGTCGGAATTTCGTAAACAGCCTAAAGCCTGTTAGTTATGCAAGAAGAAATCAGGGAAGGGGGCGAGAGTAGAAATCTACCTTGCGGAAGGCATTGGTAAAATAGAGTGACTGGAGCAAACTGTTCAGGTAGCAAGTGGCACCTTGGTTTTTCAAACCGACGTAGCCGGTTTCCTTCTTAGAGTCGTAGTTGATAAAGTTGTGCCACAATACACCAGTCTCGTCCTCCACAACACGAACGTAGGCCGTTATGTTTGCTGCGTCATTCTCACACAAAGGCCGCGTGCCGTGTTCCCAGGGTACGTTGAACATTCTTCGATGCTCGACAAACCGAGTGAAGCCCCAATCGCCCTCCTCCTTGGTGAATCTGTGGTGCGCGGCATGATGAACGTATAGGCTCGGATCGTTGGGATTCCAAAGGACGAGAGCAAATTGTACACAGGAGCTCCAGTTGTCTGGCACAGCGTCGGCTTCAAAACCATGTTCCAGGTAGATGGAGCATTGGTCAGTGTTGTTGCCGTGGGGGAAGAGGAGGATTCGCCTATGACGTCAAGGGAAGGTGTTAAAATATGCATGTATTCCGTCACGGACAGGAACGAAGTCCCAGAAGGTATTGCTGGGGTCTACACGTACCATGGGTAGCCACCAGCCTGGAAGATGGGGCCATGCTCCCTCTTACCCATACTCCTCCAATTCTCGACAGTCCATGTGTTGTGGGCGTCTTCGAGGATCTTGGGTTCGTCTAGCAACGGGGGCAGGACGAGTTCTCTCATAGCATCATCTAGAGCGCCCCATGTAAGTTGGATTTGTACCATATATAGAGCGTCGTGGGATTGTCCGGTTGAGGGGCAAACATACAGTCGTTAGCCAGCGGAAGGTCCTGGAGTTGTTGATCTAAATCGCCCTGTTCGAGCCCGTCGGGATTGATGATGGCGACAGAGTCCTTTTCTGGAGCATTGACGACACCGACATAGTCGTCCGTGTCCACCACCATCTCATTGGGGGAGTCAACATTGTAGCTCTGTCGGTTTCGAGAATGCTTGTTAGTCTTTGGTCTCGTGCGATGAGGCAAGTAACGGGTAGGGAATTCCATGGTGGGCTATGCAACAAAAGAATAGGACAGCGGCACAGCAGGACCGCGACAATATCGTGTTGCAGTTGGATGACGGCGCGCCACAAAAATGCAAAAAAGGTCTGGCATAGGGATGGATGAAATCGGGCATCAAAACATGTCGCAGCAACCGTCGCAGCAACCGTCGCTTCTCGGCCCTGAGGCAGATGCTTGACTGTGCAATAAACGCAAGATCAGGCCTGGTAATGGGGCTCTTTGTTCTGATTGAGTGCAAAGGCGGGCAGTAGTACAAATGGCACCGGGTCAGTGTCTATGAAGCGACATGGAGGGTCATGATGCCAATGGCGAAGCAGCCAGGGCTGAGGGCATCTGGGGCGAGGTTGACCTCCAGATTTGAACCGAGAGGCCGCGGCCAGCTGTCGCAGCTGTTCGGTCTCATGACGGTTTGAAGAAACATTGCAGGTGCCAAAGTACTCGAGTACCAAACAAAACTCGGAGGGAAGGTGCATCGCCGGGGAGGGCATGTTCGCTCGAGGTTCTCTCTTACCATCTTGACGGCAGCCAGCAGGACGAAGCCAGCTCAAGCTCCACACAGCTCCCGGATCAAAAGCTCGCACCGCCAGAAAAGCACAACCGGCAGACACGGTCCGCGCAGACAAAGAACGTGGGCGCCAGACTACCTACTTATCCAGGTCGATGGAGGGATTGGATGCTGCAATCGTGCGTGTCAGTACTGGTGAGGCTCAAGACAGCCTTTCCGGCAACGCGGCAACGGTTCGATGGACGGCGTACGGCGGGGAAGGTGCGGACGGCGTGCCTGCACAAGTGGTGGTTGTGAGTGACACGTTGGTACTCGCTCGTGCTTTTGCGTGTGTGCAATATTCAGTGTGTGTAATGTCTGGTGCGTGTGCTTATGCTTGGACGGGCAAGACGGGTGGCAAAGGGCGGCGGCGGCGGCAAACACGACGACGACGTCAACGTCAGGCAGACAAATCGACATGCAGCACCAGCTCTGCGGCACCAGGATGCGGATACGTACTCTGCACCAACAGACAGAGCTGCTCGAGTCTGCTTAAGTGGGTAACAGACACAACCGAGCTGAAGTGGACGGTGCGCACACAGGATGGGGGGGCAAAACTTCGGTCTCAATGCGGGGTGCCAGAGAGACGCAACAACACCTTGTCTATTGTGCAAAATTACAGTCGAGAGACGTGAGGAGCACCGTCGAATGAACAATTGGAACAATGGGGAGAATATACAGCTGAATTCTCGGCATTGGCGGTTTGGAAGCCTCCTTTGCTGCTGCGACAGGTGGCGAGGCAGGGATGTGTGTCACTCAGTTTGTCAAGGGCTTGACTTGAGTGTGATAGCGAGGAGGAACACTTGGTAAAGGCACCATGAGACAAAGCCAAACTAGTGGGACTCGACAACAACGGGCGGAGTTGTACGCAGTAAGGGTATGATGGCTGACGCATATCGGCCGGTCATGGTCAGTTAACAATAGACCACCACAATCGGTGAGAGAAGTCTTTCACTGTCATGGCGCGGGAATCGTTCTGGAAGTTCTAACCAAGTATCCCACTAACAATAACCGACGGTTGTCTCAGACTCTAGCTCCACGCCACCCATGGCGTCTCCCTGTATCAGAGCAAGCTCGAATTCACAACAGCAAAGGAACGCCGCCAGGCAAGCCGAGTTCCGTGGACTTGGTGAGCCGGTTCATTTTGACTATAATCCGTCTAGAGGACTCGGCATATGCTCTCCCATTGACAGGACGCACGCAGGCTAGGCATTTATCATTGAGGGATGGAAATGACGGACTACCGGTGTCGATGCCGGAAAGGCTATGTCAGATGCGAACAGGCCACAATAAACATGTAGGCTTGATCCTGGAGGATATGGTCTTATACTCCTCCACAAGGGATGGGACGGTTATGCACCCCGCACCGGACGAGACGCCGAAGGCTGAAACCCATTGATGCTGCGGTGCGCCACCTACAATGAGCACTTGTTTCTCGGGCTCACTCAACGGCAATTGAGCTCCTCGGCCGTGACTTGTACGGCGTACAAAAGTGTGTGTAGGTTGTCGATAGAGCTGAAAGACAACCCCTGGAGAGCACGTTGTCAACCGCGGTCGAGTAGCCGTGGAAGCTATTAGGGCAGTAGTTTGAAGCAACATCAACTACTCGGTGCTCCCATGTCGGGTCGTACAACGCCTGGTCCGGAGAGGGACGGAAGACGGGAGACGGGAGACGGAAGGTGAACGGCGGGCTGACTGTCTTATGCAAGTGTCTGGTGCTGAGTCTTCAAATGCCTGGTTCTCTATCCACATGCTTCATCAGTTGAGTGCATCTGGGCTTCGAGTCAAACTGCAGAAGAACTCCATGCAGTTTGACATGTGCTGACGGCAACTTGATACTTTACTTTATACTGCGTACATTCAGTGTCACCCTGGGAAGTGCCCGTCACGGCCTGCGAGTGGGCGAGGCCTGTCACATGTCTGGCGTGTGGTGTGTCGACTCAGAACTCAGCACGTACGCGGTGCCTATGACTGGCATTTCGCGCCTGGACTAGCACACCGGCTCCCGAAATTGGCACCACAATGGGCGACCCCCTCTCCAGAATGCGCCAATCCCGCGAATGAGCCGCCCGTCGCTCTGCCGCTAGCCATGCAGCTTCTGCACCACGGCTCGTTGGCCTGCGATGGCTTTGGCCCTGCAGCTCGCAGGTGTCCGGCAGGTGCTCTTGTTGAGTCTTGTGGCTGTTTCATGCTCTTGTGCGCCCGATACCGCTCCTGGTCATGCCATCGAGCATTGCCGGCAAAATAATATGCAAAACTAGCTGCAACTCTGCCATGCATAAACCTGGAGCATTGTACAAGCATGTGAGCCTTGGAAGCCTAACCCCAAAGTTGGCCTTGGGCGAAGCGTGACTCTCCAAGGTGCTGCACACGACAGACAATGCCATCTCGTTTGACCCAACTTCCCCTTTCCAAGCTGCAATCCCCCTCATACACCATCGCAGCAGCTGACTCGAACAGGCCGACATCTTGAAAAGTGTCTCTCGTGCGCATATAATCCTCCTGTCCCCGAGTTGAAGCTCCCACTCGCCTTTCTGCCCTGTGGACCCCTCCGATCTCACTTCCCATTTGAAGTTCCCACCCACCCCGAAAAGGGCACACGACCGATCTCGCTCACGAGCTCCCAGTCCAACAAAGCACCCCATATCTACATTGCAAGAGAGACTGAAGAACAAACGTAAACCGTGCTCCCTTCACATCACCCAGCCGCTGCATGGAATTCCAATCATGTTCTCCGCCGCGCTGTGCAAGACCGGCAAACGGTGCGGATTGAGCCGCGGCGCCGTGCTCGCAGCAGCCAGAAGCCCAGTCACCGGGCCGGAATGTACATCACCGTCGCCTTCACCAATCTGTCGACGACATGGGCAACAGCAGCAATCGCGCAAAGCCAGCAACGGCGCCTGGAGGCCTGTATCTGTTCTGGACGAGTATGTGCTCCCCACGGGAATAATTCCCCTACCTCGTCAGACAAACTCCCTAATAGGAACATGTATAGATGGGTGGCGAGAGAAGCAAGGCCCATAAGCTTGCGACAGCTTATGGTCTTTGGCCGCTCTCTGACCGAGTCGCGCCTCATCAGCTCAGCAAACTATGTCCGGACAGAGCTCCCAGCCAGGCAAGTTGCAGTCAAGTCCCTTTCCTCCCCAACGAAACAAATTGAACTTGATTTGCTGACGGCTTCCCTTGCTTTGCAGAATAGCACATCGTCTCCGAGACATGCAACAGCTGCCCTACGTCGTCGTAACCAATCCGCACATCAGCGAAGTCTACGACCTATACTACAAGGCATTTGACCAATTCCGCAAACTAAAAGAAATCAAGACCCTAGAGGACAACGATAGACTGTGCGACATTATCCGCCACAACCTCAGGAGCCACTTGACCGTGATCCCCAAGCTGGCAATGGGCATCCTCGAGTGCGGCGGGCTCATGGACCCCCAAGAACTCGACAAATTCATGAACACCATTCTCAGATCCGTAAGTCCCCGCCCTCCGCAATCCCAACGCAGCGCTTTGCTCTCCCGCAGCCAAACTCACACCCCCCCGTCTTCAGCGAATATCCCGCCGCGTCATTGCCGAGCAACACCTCTCCCTCACCGAAACCTTCAACTCGCCCTACTTCTCGCCCGGCGCGAAGCTCTCCGAGTCCGACTTCATCGGCGAGGTCTTCATCAAGTGCTCCGCCAAGGATGTCATCACGCGCTGCGCCAAAGCCGTCACGGCCCTCGCCCGCTCCACCAACGGGCCCGACGCGCCCATCCCCGAGGTCAACGTCGTCGGCCACCTCGACGCCAGCTTCCCCTACATCCTAAGCCACATCGAGTACATTGTCGGCGAGCTCCTCCGCAACTCGGTCCAGGCCGTCATTGAGCGGCACCAGAAGCAGCCGGACCCCTCGTCGCCCCCTCCCCCCGTCGAGGTGACCATTTGCGAGGCCCAAGAACACGTCATATTCCGCATATCCGACCGCGGCGGCGGCATCCCCCGCGCCGAGCTCCCCTACCTGTGGTCCTTCTCCAAGGGGCCGCAGTCGGCCAAGCACCTCGAGAATCTCGGCCAGGTCCCCCGCATGGCCGCTACAATGGAGGAGCTCCACGTCCAAGACGAGCTGGGCCGCGCCGACCTCAAGGCCCCCGCCGCCTACCAGAGCTCCCTGTCCTCCCTGACCAGCCGGCCTCCCAACCTGCGCCTGGGCATGGGCCTGCCGCTGAGCAGAGTATACGCAGAGTACTGGGCCGGCAGTCTGAATCTGCACAGTCTGGAGGGATACGGCGTGGATGCGTTCCTGCAGATATCCAGACTGGGCAATAAGAATGAGCAGCTCGTTACAAGAGCAAGCATGGACTCTGTCTAGCCTCTGGCGTCTAAGGCTTGTATCGAATCTTTGCTAGCGTACAGCATGCGCAAGTGAGTACCATGTATTTTCGACAACATATGTAGGGAGGGCGGAATTAAGCAATTCAGGACATTTTGGCATACATGGTTATTAGCAGCGGTCAAGTTTGTCTAGCCGTGTGTATAGTTCTTCATCATTTCTTTCTTTCTTTTTTTTTTTTTTGGGTTTGGCAAACGAGACCCATACGAGCATGGAGTTGGTGAGCTGGGGCATTGAATCTACACACGATTGGACCAAGACGGCATGTTACATATACAAGAGGCTTTTACACTCAGCAACTGGCTTCAACTCGAATAAACGAAAACTGTGATTGAATTACCTCCGCCAAGCAAAGCACTCGGCTGACAGAGAAACGGTGTTGGAGTATAAAACGAGCAAATAAAATAAGGCTACATGATCAAAAAACAGCTTGCGTTGCACGCGCCCCTGTCTGATTGTAAATAAAAGAGGCCTTACTTTTCCTTGACTGCACAGTCTATCATAGACCTGACACAAAGAGTCAAAGAGCTCCAAGTTGCTGCAAGGACCCCTCTACTAACCCACCGGAAGCATAACTCACGGGGCTCTCTGTCTCTTCCGTAGTACTAGCAGGTTACCTTGGTATCCATAATGCCCTCTTCCTCATCAACTATGGTATTCGTTGACCATGACCTTGTTTAAGAAAAAAGAGAAATTACAGTCATTTCAGACTCCTGCCCCCCAAACACGCATCAGACGAGCAGGAAAGAATATTCCGGCTTGTCCGACATTAAAATTGCCTTCTTGTGAAGCCATTCATGAATTAGCGGCGGCCATGACTGCGGACAGCACTGCCCTGCATCTGCTCGAGCTCGGTTTCCAGCTGCTTGATCTGGGCGTGGGTCTGTTCGAGGTCCTTGTTGAGGCGGTCGCGCTCGGCAATAAGCTTCTGCTCCCACTGTCGGAACCGCTGCTCTTCGATCTTAACCTGTTCGGTGAAACGCTTGCGCAGAGCCTCTTCCTCTTCCTTGAATTTGGGGTTGTCCAGCTTGCGGGGCCGGGCCTCGCCAAATTTACGAGTCTCCATCTGCTGAGCACGGTACGCCTCGTAGTGTAGCTCCTCCGTAGTGTGAATAAGGTCAAGCATATGGGTTCGGATCAAGATGGAACGAAGCTTCTTGAAGTCGCAGTGGTCCTCATTCTCGACCTCGGCAACACCCCATGAGTATTGACGGCCCTTGACAATGCGGCCGTCGTTGGTCTTGACGTCCTTCTCGGAACCGATAACGGCGAAAGGCATAGCAGCCATGAGGCTTCGCGCGTGTTGAGCAGCAGCTTCGTCATCCTCCTCGATAGGGGGTTGATAGATCTTGATGTTCTGAGCTTCAATAACAGAGATGATCTGGGGGGGGGTTGTTAGTACTTGGTACGGGGATAGAGTAGGCTGTCGTGGAATATCATACTCTCTGCTTGAACCTGGCCAGGTCAGCGGGGCTCAGCGTGTCGGCCTTGGCAATAACAGGGATCAAGTTGACCCGAGAGCAGAGTCTCTTCATGACTTCAATGTCGAGGGGCTTCAGAGTGTGGCCGGTGGGGCGGATGAAGTACAAGCAGGCGTGGACTCGAAGGTCAATCTTGTCCTGGCGGCGAGGCTGCTGCTCCTGAAGCATGTAGGATTCGTGCTGGTCGTCGAGGAACTCGATAATGGGCATCCAAGAGTCACGATTGTTGACATAGTCGCCGAATCCGGGAGTATCAATGACGGTCAGGCGGACTGATTCACGGTTAGTCGTCGGGGACGTGATCATGCTTTGCTAGGTTACTGCATACCCTTGAAGAACTTCTCCTCGAGCTCAGCCTTGGTGATCTCAATTTCGACAGTCTTGTCGACTTGCTTCTGGTGTCGGCGCTTGTGGTCGGCATAGTTCTTGATGGTGGTGGAGAAGAGAGTGTTGATGAAGGTGGTCTTGCCCAGGCCAGACTCGCCAGCAACCTACGACTTACGTCAGTATTAACCCAATCAACAGACGATCGAAGAAAATAGTGGGAGCTCCTCTATTCGTTTAATCAACATACCATGATGGTGAAGCTGGCTCCCCGCTTGGCGACAATTTTGTGTCGCTGGTTGGGGAGGTTGGCAATGCCAATCGATGAGGCGCTCTCAGCAGCTGGTGCCATCTTGAAGACGCGTGAGAAGGAACGGTGTGTGGGAAGCAATCGGTCTTGAAGCTAACAATAAGCACACAGTCTGAGGCAGCTGTGGAAAAGAACGAGGAGACACCAAAGGTCGAAGACGGGACCGAATTGAAGGATGGAGTCGGAGGCAGGTGGAGGTTGTAGCTTACTTACTCCGTGCTTCAGGGGCAGCATCAAGCCAGACTAGAAGGGGGGGTTGCTGGTCAGAAGTCCTCAACGTGCCCCATCTCATCAATCAAACCATCCATTGACAGCCCCAGTCCAAAATTACTGCCCTTGGTTGGCTGGCTGGAGCCATGGCCACACGGGGGTGCAGGTACTGGTCCCCTTTTCCTTCCCAACGGTGTCCATTACTACGCGGTCGGGGCACCAGGCTTGGCCCAACAAGGCTTAGATCTCAGACCAGGAACAATTATCTACCGGCCCCTCCATTGTATGGCTACCCAGGCACGCAGCAACTTACAATTTCCCGAGAAAAAGTAGGTCTGTGTTATCGATAAGGCCGATGTCGAAATTTTGGTTTCATACTCAGCGGCATCTTCGAACTCTATGGCCTTGCAGGTAGATGGCAACAATGAAGACTGACTTCAAGGTAAGAAGTGCACTTATTTTTTTTTTCTTTCTTCTTTCTTTCTTCACGTCTCATCCGTTGTAAACGTTTACCTCTTCATCAGGACAAAGCTCTAACCTGCGCAGTTCTCGAACTTGCTGGGTACTGTCTACTGCCAGGGCAACTTGCTCTTCAGTCCAGATGGCACCCATCTCTTCTCGCCAGTCGGCAACCGAGTGACCGTATTCAATCTAGTAGAGTAAGTATATTCATGCGTGCAATATTGAAGCCAATTGGTCATTGACCTAACGCCGTGTTGCGCAGAAACAAATCTCACACGCTACCCTTCGCCCATCGCAAAAACATTTCACGAATCGGTCTCACACCCCGCGGCAACCTCCTCCTCACTGTTGACGAAGATGGTCAGGCCATCTTAACAAACGTCCCTCGCCGAATTCCCATATACCACTTTTCTTTCCGATCCAAGGTCACGGCTCTCTCATTCTCTCCCTCGGGAAGGCACTTTGCGGTTGGGCTGGGGCGCGTCGTCGAAGTTTGGCATGTGCCGTCAACGCCCGATACCAATGCCGAAGGCGGGCTCGAGTTTGCACCCTTCGTTAGACATCATAGACACACTGGACATTTCGATGACGTGCGACACATCGAGTGGTCAAGCGACTCCAGATTCTTCATCACAGCATCCAAAGATTTGACGGCGCGAATATGGAGTTTGGATCAAGAGGAAGGCTTTTCTCCTACCGTTTTGTCAGGTCACAAGCAAGCCGTCCTTGGTGCTTGGTTCTCCGAAGACCAGGAAACAATCTATACTGTTAGCAAAGACGGCGCTGTGTTTGAATGGCGCTATGTTAAGCCCATCAATCCCAAGGAAGATGAGGAGATGCGCGACACAGACGACGATTCCGATATGCGATGGAGAATAGTACAGAAGCATTACTTCATGCAGGGAAGCGCCCATGTCAGATGCGCCGCCTTCCATCCCGAATCAAACCTCCTGGTGGCCGGGTTCTCCAACGGCATCTTTGGGCTGTACGAAATGCCCGACTTTAACAACATTCACAAGCTCAGCATTTCTCAAAACGACATTGACTTTGTCACGATCAACAAAAGCGGAGAGTGGTTGGCGTTTGGGGCTTCAAAACTAGGACAACTGTTGGTGTGGGAGTGGCAATCGGAATCGTATATCCTGAAGCAGCAAGGCCATTTCGACTCTATGAACTCGCTGGTGTACTCACCCGATGGACAGCGAATCATTACCACCGCAGACGACGGAAAGATCAAAGTTTGGGACATTGAATCCGGATTCTGCATCGTCACATTTACAGAACACACCAGCGGTGTGACAGCATGCGAGTTCGCCAAGAAGGGAAATGTACTCTTTACGGCCAGTTTGGACGGTTCTATTCGAGCGTGGGATTTGATTAGATACAGAAACTTTCGTACATTCACGGCGCCGACGCGACTCTCATTCTCATGCATGGCTGTCGACCCAAGTGGTGAAGTGGTTGCCGCAGGCTCCCTTGACTCTTTCGACGTCCACATTTGGTCTGTACAAACCGGTCAGCTTCTCGACCAAATGTCGGGTCACGAAGGTCCCGTCTCGGCATTGGCATTCTCACCAAACGGTGATTCTCTGGTCAGTGGCAGCTGGGATCGCACCGCACGAATTTGGTCCATCTTCAGCAGAACCCAGACGAGCGAGCCCCTTCAGCTACAAGCAGACGTGTTGGACATTGCGATACGGCCAGACTCATTGCAGCTGGCCATCTCCACGCTCGACGGACAGTTGACATTCTGGTCCATGGCCGATGCCGAGCAGGTTGCTGGCTTGGACGGTCGCCGCGACGTTTCGGGTGGGCGTAAATTCAGTGACCGCAGGACAGCAGCCAACGTCCAAGGGACCAAAAGCTTCAATTCCATTCGGTACAGCACCGACGGAAGCTGTCTTCTTGCCGGCGGCAACAGCAAGTACATTTGTCTCTACTCGGTAACCACCATGGTGCTCCTCAAGAAGTTTACCGTCAGCGTGAACCTCTCCCTGTCGGGAACCCAAGAATTTCTCAACAGCAGACGCCTCACAGAAGCAGGGCCTGTGGACGAACTAGACGACCAAGGCGAGGCCTCGGACCGCGAGAACCGCATCGACTCGAGCCTTCCTGGCTCAAAACGCGGCGGCGACCCGTCTGCGCGCAAGAAACTGCCAGCCGTTCGTGTCAACGGCATCGCCTTTTCACCAGCCGGAACGGCCTTTTGCGCCGCATCAACAGAAGGTCTACTCATTTACAGCCTCGACGAGACAGTTCAATTCGATCCGTTTGACCTCAACATGGAAATCACGCCCGCGTCGACGTTGCACGTTCTCGAATCCGAAAAAGATTACCTCAAGGCCCTCGTCATGGCGTTCCGTCTCAACGAAGCCGGTCTCATTAAGCGTGTGTTCCAGGCCGTGCCCCCGCCAGACATAGCCCTCGTAGTAGGGGACTTGCCCACCGTTTACGTATCAAGATTACTGCGGTTTGTGGCGGCGCAGACCGAAGAGTCGCCACACATTGAATTTTGTCTACTGTGGATAAAGGCACTTGTCGACAAGCACGGCAAGTGGTTGACGGCAAACAGGGGCAAGGTGGACGTCGAATTGCGAGTTGTTTCACGCGCAGTCTCCAAGATGAGGGATGAGATTAGAAGGTTGGCAGACGAAAACGTTTACATGGTGGATTACTTGTTAGGACAGGCCGGCAAGGAGATTGCCATGGACAAGGGCGTGAAGACGGTAAAGGGTGGCGAGAGAATGGCCATTGATCTGGCGGATGGGGAGGAGGACACTGACGACGAGGACGAGTGGATTGGGTTAGAATAGGCGTTTTATGTAAATACCAGTTCAAAAGCTCGCTTTGGAGCCACCGTTTTGTCGAGCCCGGTGTTGCGAATCGGGGGCGCGGACGTGACGCACATGTTCCATGCCCAGACACAGCGCGCGGCGCCCAGAACAAATGATTGTCTCGGGTCACATTCGCATACCAAGCCGACAAGGAGTCAGGCTACGGAGTACATGACATCTTACCCCACAAACCCAGCCCGTCGCCTCCGCATCACGCCTCCACTGTCAAAAAATCCCGGGGCCGTGAACCAATCCGCTCGTCTCCGTCGTCATTCACCACAACCCAAGGATATTCTCGATATCCGTTGGCCCATGCGCCAAAAGTCCCCGAATTGCAACCCACACCTTCACACCACACGTCATTTGTCAGCAACCGCATGTTGTCGTACGCCGTGCTCAACGAAGGGTCGCATCGTAGGCAAGATCACAACGGACGCGGGGGTAGGTGTGAACGCCACACGGAGGCGTCCCTCGCGACCCTCGCGACCCTCATCCGCCTATTCCGAAGCCATACCCATCGCCAGCCAGCAACTCGTATAAAGACGCGGCGGAATCCGTGGGCCGCCCTCCCCCGGGACCCGGCCACATGCTCTCCGTGTCGAGCATCGTGCCAGGCACCACGGCGTCTTCACCATCGAGAATAACCACCCGCGCGTACTCGGTCCGGTCCCAGCTCCGCGCCAACATGGCTTCAGCCACGCGCATCGTCATCAGGGCAGAAGACACGGGCCTGTGGAAGGGCAAGCAGGACGAGGAGACGGCGGCAAAGGTGTCGTCGCTGCTGCAGGCCGACCTGGAGGTATGTCTGCCCCCGTTCCGCAGCCTCGAAGCCGGTCCAAGCTGAAAGAGTGCCGACGACGATAGAAACACCACATCTTTTTCAACGCTGCCGGGTTTCACAACCATGTACCCATGCCCGCTCCCGCAACTCGTCACGCCGCTTGGTCTAACAAAAGAAGCTCGTGCACCAGCTCCTCGCGCTCTACGGCACCGGCGCCCCGCCCTCGGCCATCCAGGCCGCCTTTGACGCCAACCGGGCCTACCAGCTCGGGCGCATGCCCGCGCGGCGCCACGTCGTCGCCGAGCTGCAGGCCGACTGGGCCGGCCACGCGCACAAGTACCTCGGCCGCGGCGCCCACTACTCCGACTTCCTGCGCTTCTTCCAGGACGAGATGGACCGGCGCGGCTGGGAGGCCGTCGTCGGCGAGTTCCTGTGCTCCGGGGGGGACGGGGCCGGGCCCGCGCGCCACATGGTGCAGCGGCTCTTCGCGGGCCTCGCCCACCCCATGATCCAGCTCGGCTTCGGCCTCGAGTGGGAGCAGCCGGCCATCATGGCGCAGGGCCTCGCCCAGGCCGCCGTGCACAGGAACGCCCTGGGCGACTTTTTCGACCGCGTCGACGAGGCCGCGCGGGGCCGGGGCGGGCAGCCCCCGCGCGCCATCTCCGACATTTGCGAGGCCCTGCGTGCCGAGAACGGCAAGTTGGCAGGCGCGGCCGAGTGGCGCGACGGCGGCCAGGGCCTGTACGCCGGCGTGCTGGGCCGCGCGCTGGACGACGCCGTTGCGCTGTGCGCAGAGGTGCGCGTCCGTGAGCACGACTTTGAGGAGCGCGTGGCCGAGGTGCTGCACCACGGCGCGTACGTCGCGGCCAGCGCGTCGTGGAAGCCGCCTCATATCCCCAAATACGACTTTTACCTCATGTATGGCTTTTTTTTTTTTTTTTTTAATAAACTCCCTGTTTACATGGCACACTTGTGAAAAGCGCGGCTAACTTTTCCAGACACGCCCTCAACGCGTCCGTGTTCCTGCTCGCCCTCGACAGGCCGTGCTTCCCAATGGCCGCGCGGATCCGCATCCTCGAGCACAAGATGCGCTACGACGTGCTGCAGTACATTGCGCGGGGGGCGCCGCGGCTCTCGCCCTCGCACATTGCCAACTACGAGGCCCCGGGGGAGCGGCAGGTCTCCCGGCCCGAGGACCTGCTGCCGCGGTACCACGGCGTCGCCGACGACGGGCACGCCATCAAGGTGGCCCGGTCGCTGCTCCTCGCGCAGCGGCTGTCGCGCGAGTGGGAGGGCAGAGGCTGGCTCAGGCTCCGCGGCGACAACGACTGGCTCAAGGCGCACTACATGCTGCTCAGGAGCGTCGAGGGCCAGGATCCCCTCTGGGTCCGCGGCGCCGGCTTCGACCAGGCGTGGGAGGGCATTCCCGCGCTGTCGTAACGGCACATTGTGTCTTGAATTAGGGCCTGCTTCAAACGCCGAATCCATTCAGTGGCAGTTTTGTGGAAGCTACCCGCTACTTGAACGCCTACATTGTATACCGTGATCCTGCTGGCCGAGGTCCAAATAAGCTTATTCTACGGAATCAGGCCGTATTTGCCGCCAGGGGGGGGGGGGGGGAAAAATGGGGGGA